GGTCCCCGTTGTTCCACGGGAGTGTTCGGAGCAGGACGAACACCGGGGTGCTGCGTGCGTTTGGCACCAGTCAGGCCCGCGCTGCTCGGGCCCTTTGCTGACAGCCCTGGGGAAGCGTCCCAGGGCTCGTAATTGCAGGGGCGGGGGGGGGTTGCTGCTGAGCCGGCCTTGCCTTTTTTTCTTCCCAGGTTTGGAAGTTGGTAATGACAAGTCTCCTTTGTAACTCCTCTGCAGTACTTTACCAGTCGGATCAAGCGCGATGTTGTCTCTACCACGTAGTTGCCTGTGACAATCTACACCTTTGTCCCCTGTCCTCCCATGGGTTGTGTGTGTGCTAGGAAGTTGCACAGCCTCATTACAGATCTGCAGTCTCTTGGGTGTATCTGAGAAACGGATGTCCATGCCAGATATATGTGTTTCAAAGAGGTATCTCAGGGTAGTTCTGTTCTGGTCCTGTGTGCTGAGTCCCCTTAACAGCTGGGGACACATTTGGTGTGTTCCTGGAGTACATCTTCAATTTAGTTTTATCAAAAAAAATTGGGTTTACATGCTCTGAGACTGCTCCATGACACTACCAGAGCATGGTAGATAGGTACTATCAGGAGACGTGCTTCAAAAAGTGAAATCGCAGTTTGATTCAAATGTTAACAGTAGACTCAGCCTTTGTGGACCACTTAAAATAAGAGGATTTGTACAATTTTTCCTTCTGTAAATGATCTGGTGGAGTTCTTTGTTTTGGCAACAGAGACAACTTGTGAAATGGTGTTTAGAGTTTGTCTGAACATGGAGTAGCATTTCAGCATTCATACAAATCTATTTTTACTTATAGTATAGCATACGGAATCTTTGTTTCCAAGGTTACGAAGATTAATAGAGTTATTGATTCTGAGTGGCCAGTTCTGTTTTCATATATTCTAATGTTTCTTACTTGGACAAATTAACCTTTCAGTTAACCGCTACTGCATGTCCTGGACGTTGACTAATAGCAGGTTGCAAAGGGCTGATGTGGTGTGATGGTGACGTTTTGTTTAAGAAGCTGTTAAGGGACACACCCACTCACATTTCCTTGCGAGGGTGACATTGCTTGAGAACAGCATCATCCATAGCTACTCTCCCCAAGTCAAAGCTGCATGGTGTGATGTAAGCAAAGATAAGATGCAGTCCCACACCTGTCGCGATGTCAAAAAAATCAACACAACATTAAGCTAGGAAACCTTAAGATCTAGATCTTAATGTTGAGTATTTTCTCATGTAGGAATAAAGATTAAACTTATTTTTGTTGCCAGTGTGTTACATGCAGCTCATCTGAAGCTAAGCCTCCAGTTTGATAATGTTCCCAGATTATTCTGCTGTTCTAGCTGTAGTTTTGATCCCATTCTCAGGCAAGATAGGAGAGTGCTTCAGTGTGTCTCAGCTAACAGATGTGTATGTCCCAGATATCCTTTATTTCCCCAATTAAGAGAATAGCTGAAACTTAAGTTCTTTTGTTTAAAAACTTGTAACCCTGTGTTAGCAACAGCTAACTTGCAAAAATGGGATCTAAGATGGAGTAGATGAACTATTATGCAAGGATCTGTGCTCTCTGAATGCAGTGGTTTTGTATCACAGGCACATAGGAATGGAAGCAGCCATTACACAGAATTACGTGTTCTGCTCTAACAATTTTGGAAGTTTTATTTTTTGTTGAACTTCACTTTATTAGTGATGCAAAGTTCAAATAATGCTCCTGGTTGAATATTGCTGTTGGCAGTGATCATTTCTGCTATTTTGGACCTGTATACAATTTTGAAGTGACTTTGGTTTCCTTTGTCACATAAAAAGGATAGTTTGGGAATCCTTCCTTTAGGGATGATCCCTTTGGTAAAGAAGATTCTATAGAAATCAAACCCTGAGTGACCTATATCAGTATTCCTTATCCTAAAATATTTTTTCTGAATATTCAGTCCTTTTTGCAGCAAAGTAAGCTGATTTTTCTCTTGGCTTTTTTTCAGAAAAAACATTGGAGAACAATGTTGCTTTTTTTTTTTTAATGTTGTTTTCTCTGTTTTACCCCATCCAAATCTGTTTGAACTCTGTTAAACATGGTAACCTATTCCCATCTCTCCCTGACTCAAAAAAGGGTGTCCACATGTTTACTGTAGATCCCTGTTGAAACATAATGTTTTTATCAGTTGTGCTCTTATGATCTAGATGTAATAAATGTAACTTGACGTTTTCCTTTATGGTGTTTTTCTAAACAAGCTGACAGTCAAATAAAAGCATGCCACATCCGTTGCTTTACTCTCATCTCGTGAGCCAGCTGCCTGATCGGTGCAGGAAGTCAAACTGGTGTGACATGATTTGCACTTGGCAGACCTGCTGTTTGCTTTTCATCAGTTCGTCTTGCACGTATTCTTAAACCAGTTAATAATTTGTTCAACATTATTTTCCTGGACAGTAGATAAGATCATTGCTTTGGATTGCAAATGCCTGGGGAGAGAAGTCTTGCTCGCTTTTTTCCCATCATCTCAACCTCAGTGGACATATGAAGATAACTGATAGGTTGAGTTCTCTCTGTGTGATTTTTTTTTTTTTTTTTTTTTTTTTTTTTTTTTTTTTTTTTTTTTTTTTTTTTTTTTTTTTTTTTTTTTTTTTTTTTTTTTTTTTTTTTTTTTTTTTTTTTTTTTTTTTTTGTCTTAAGCGACTTAGGATGAAAGAACTAAGGCTTGAATTGACGTTTTTGTCTGGAATCTGCAAAGTCTGTTAGTGAGATGGGATTGCCTTCTTTTTAATGGTGTACAAAAACTAATGTGGTAATTCAGTTTTAAATTTCGTGCTGGGAAGAATGCCACGATCTTTCAAGTCTCTTGGATGTTCTGGACGTATGCAACTGCTTCTCTTTGACTAGGGAATTATATTATAAAGGAAGTACTGTAAAACCAACAGGGACTGGATATGTTTTAGAGATATTTCTGGAACCTTAACTTGTATGTGCTGGCTTTGCAAGATTAACTGGTCTGTTTCCCATGACTCCAACGTGCTAGGGTTTTTTCTTCAGAACTGGAACATGTCTGCAATGTGGCAAATCTTTCTCTTTTATTTTCTGCTTACAGATGATATAATTAAACTGAACAAGAAAGAAGAGAGAAAACAATATTCTCCCAAAATTAAAAGAGGGCTTCAGCAGAATCGAACTCGGCAGTTCAGGACACCAGGCTCCAAGTGGGGAATCCAACAGCAGAAAGGTGTGTGTGCTAAACATAATGCGGATTGTGCAATGTTTTTTTTCTGAGCTGAAATGTAACCTAATGAAAATGTGTGGATCGACATGGTCAATTCAGGTATCTTTCAAATAGTGTCACACACAGTTTTGATTATAATTCAGTTCTTTGTGATCCATTTATGTTTGATTTTGGTTCAGTATGAGAACAACAGTGACGTTTTTGGCCAACGAGGAGCATAGGCGCTTGAAGGACTCTCTTGACTCAAGGAAGGATTTGCTTTCTTTCTGATTTTTTTAAATTTCTTCTAATTTTTGAAATTGTGCTGATACTTTGTCCTGTCTCAGAGACGGATAGAAAGCGTGCTTATGCCAAAGGCTATATATTAGGAAATGTGGATGCCTTGCCAGAGCTTTGTGCAAAAGAGCTAGCGTATTTATATTTGCTAGGTAGAATTCTCCTAGTAGGCCTCTTCACAATAGCTGTTACTGTAGACTGTAGTGCTGCCTCTGGGATATGTAAATGAATAGTGCAGAGTGTCTGAGTCGGCTTTTCTTGTTAAGACCTTGGGATGCAAAGGAAGTACCATGTCAGCCGCCTTAAGCCAATGTTTTTACAGTGGAATACAAAAGTGAAGGAAGGAAAACTGCACAATAACAGCTTTACCGTGGATTCCCCGAGTAACTGTCAGGGTTTTTTTTGATACAGCAGGAGCCATATTTGAAAATGATTCACAGTTTTTAGTCCAAAACATGGCCAGCACCTGTTTGAAATATAGACTTATTTTGCTTATGTTTAATTTTGAAAAGTACCTTTTTAACACAGGATTATCAAAATATGGAAAAATACTGTCTAATCAGAAAGCCTTACCACCTCAGCCCAAGCTAATGAAGTGTTTAAGTTAATACATGCAACTGCTTGTTTAGTAGCGTTCATTTAAAACAAATGCCCATCTGTCTGTTGTATTCACAGTGATCCACGTTTCATCTTTGTCATTGCTTAATATTTCTTGTAGCAGCAGTTCGTACTTGGCATCCCAGACACAAACGTCTTTGGCGACCAGTGGGACGTCATGTTGCTCAGGGCTCTCAGGAATTTTGCTTTTTGTGCAGGCCCGCGTAGCAGTGCTACTTAATTTGTGCGTCTTGAGTAAATTGATGACAGTGCAGGAAAATATTTTACGTCAGTCATCCTCAAGTGTAAGAATATTTGTGTATGTGAAAGAGTAAGTGAATTTAAGCTGTAGATTATCCAACGTGTAGGCTTCTATTTATGACTGCAGTTGTGAAATGCAATTGTTTATGATCTAAAGGGCACAAAAGAAGCAAGTATTAGGATTTAGAATTTTTAGGAGGAACTCGAGCTGCAAACATAAAACTGTGAAAAAATATCTTGGCCGTTACTTTTCTCTCTTGGAACCTTCCCTCTTTGTCTGCCCTTGTTCTAGGAAAAAGCAAACTTTTTTTTTCAAAATTGCCAGATTCATGACATGTTGAAATGTTGTGAACAGCTTTAGCTGCTCCCTTCTATACAGCTCCACACGTTTTCTCTCATTGAAAGCAAACCTTGTTTATATTGGGTTTTGAGCAGAAGATATAATTAAATAGTTCTTCTGAGCATTTTAGTTATTAGTAGCTTATGACCAATAGATTTATTGCCACTCCGTTGCCATTGAAATTACTCTTGGTAAGTAGCAAATCCTCTGGTTTTTGTAGACGGCTACAGAAACCACAAATGATCAACAACATTCAGTTCCTTGCGGTTTTAGAATTGTCTGCCAAACTCTTTGGAAAGAAGAAAGGAACTTGAGCTGAGACTCTTTTCAGCTTTTGAGGGGAGAAGCAGAGAGAAGAGCATTGTCTATTTAGATAAAAGTTGTCCTTGGTGATACGCAGAATGCAACTGCACAAAACTTTGCACAGCCTGAGCTAACTTTGAGCTTGTAATTTATTTGAGCAGAGATTGGTCCAGAGACCTCATGAGGTCCCTTTCAGCCTTAGTGAGCTTGTTTCTCAGCTTTTCTGTTTGAAAAGAAGAGCATTTGCTAACCATCCACAAGATGTGGGCACAGAGCAGTTTCTCCATGGCAGATTTATCTAAGCTGGGTTCTGACCACGTGATGGCTCCTGTCTCATGAAGAAGCGCAGATTTATTGTCGATGCTGTGAAGTCAGATGTGTCAAAGCTAGATGTGTCTGTTGCTGTAGAGCTGACTGCTTACTCTTAAATTTATCTTGCGGTGTGAGGTTCTAGAGGGGATGATACTTGGGGATAAAACTGAAGCATGGTCTGTATTCATAGCGTGAAGCTAAATGTGTCCAGACAGGGTTAGCCAAACCCCTGTAACTGGAGATTTCAGATGTTTGTACTACAGACCTCAGGCTTAACAAGCCTTTTATATTTAAGGGCTGCTTTCAATTCTCAGTGTTGTCCAGACTGCCAGGCAGACTTCTAATTGAAAACACTTTAAATGTGATGTAATTCATATGCTGTTTAATATGGTTTTCTGGGCCAGTTGCTGTATTCTTTTTTTCTTAAGTCATGAATTGGGAACCACTGATCTAAATAAATAAGCTTTGAAGTTGCTTTCTTTTCTTTTCTTTAAATTAAACTGGTAATTTGAAGTTTGCTGAATGGGTGGGGAGCTGGTGGGTTTTTTTGTTTGGTTTGGTTTGGGTTTGTATTTTTCAAAACTTGACAAAGTTATGTTTTGGAGTATTTTGGTAGTTTTCTATGCCAGAATGACTCTTAATGTCCCCATAGACATGTCAAATAACAGATTTTCAACAGAAATTAATGCCATGAACTAGAGCACAACTGTGACCTATATGAGAAGCTGATTATTCTTGTGCTAGGGCTTGGGCCAGACCTGCTAAAATAACTGAATGACAAAATTGTCTTCAAGTGTAGTGATAACTTCTGCTCTAAGGCTTGGAGTGCACAGCCAAATAACTCGCGTCGCCTGCATAGCATCTTAAAGCATTAAGCTTTTTCTTTCAGTAAGAGTTGTTGAGCGCTTCATGCTTGTTGCAGGTTATGGTAAAAATCGTTTGGGACGCAGAAAGAAGATAGCGGGGAAGAAGCGTTCCTACGGAGTTGTAACTGGCTTGGCAGCCAAGAAGGCAGTGGGTGCACGCAAAGGAACTAGTTCTCTGAACAGACAGCCACTTAGCGAGAAGGTAATGAATGCAATTCCAGTGGTTCGTTTGAGAACAGATCGAAGGAATGAAGCACAGTGGCTCCAGAACTGTGCTGCTGAAATATAAAACAGAGACATTTGGTACAACCTTTTATGACATTGTTGATGTGTGAGCCGAGTTCTTGTTTGTTTCGAGGGGGCTAGTTAATGACTAGGTTTGAAAGTGTTTTTTAACACTTAATTGGGTTGCAAGTCATGAAAATTGATGTACAGAAGTATGTTCTGCGCAAGTATGGAGGTAGTTACTGTATTTTTACAAGAAAAGCTCACTTTTTAAGATTTCTTGTCTTTGCACTGCTTTGTTACGAACCAATTATTTAGCCAACATGCAAGTGTTAAGCATGTGCCTGTAACAGAACTGGAAGCTTTTGCAAAATACTTAACTCCTTCAGTAGGCTCCCTCTTCTGTACTCCTCCAGCGCATTGTTGCTTGCACCATCTCATTCAGTATTGTGGAATAGGGATTGCTTTTGGATGTGTGAGGAGGAGTATTTTTAAAGATGTGTGGAGCATGTGTTTTGTCATTTTAGGGAGATACAGTAATCAAAAAGTAACTGCTAAGCTCTGCTATTGCTTTTTTTCCCTAGTAATGAGGGGAATATAGAATTCATGAAAGTGTAGAAGATATTTTCAAATTATACTAGGCTGTGAGGGGTAGGCAAAGCCAAATGTATTCTATGTGCAGTTTGGAAATGGAAATGGAAGGAAAACTGTTCTAGTGTATACAGTATACATATATGCTAAATATATATTGTTTTAAGAACGCACAGCGGAATTATCCAGTTTTGAAAAAGAAAACAAACTTGCAGAGGCAATCTGAAATGCAGAGAAAACAAGCTCCAGCCCTCAGGAGACCTGCCCCTCTGAACAGAAGGTAAAATCCAAGTCTGCTTTCTGAAATCCTCTTGAACGGCTTCGCGTAGTGAGTCTTGTTTGACAGGACTGAGTCCAAGAGAAGACGATAGGTACTGGCCATAGTAATACGGTCAAGACCATCGTGTGTGAAGTTCTACCAATGTGGAAGCTGAGCATGGGACAAACGTGGTCTTGATACAAAGCCAGATATTTATTATCATGTAGAGCACTCAGGAAGTACTTCTTTTTGTGAGCACCTGGTATTCTACCTTCATTTAACTGGTAGGCAGCCTGTATGGAAATGGCCAACAGGGATTTCAGTAGCTTTGAAGCGACAGCCATAGTTTAGTGAACTTTCTAAATAAAACGCCTTTGTGGAAGCTGGTGCCATCTTCAGTTTCATGGAAGCTATTGCATGTTTTATTTGTGCTGGAATGAAATGTCTGCTATGAACTGCATCTTAGCTGGTCTCCGTAATGAAAATTTTCACTATGTGACTATTGTGGAAACTGTAAACAAACTTTATACATATCAAGACTGCTCCTTTTTTTTTTCCTTCTAATCAGCAGCGTTTGAAGTGCTGGAGGATACTGAGCAAAGTAAAAAGCAGAATTAATAACCATGCTGTCCTGTGATGTAGGAGTGCTAGGCTTCTATGTAACAGAAGTATGAGTAATGTGTTTAGTTCCTGGTAGATGAGAAGCTTATTGCAACCAAAATATTTAGCTTTAAAGAGGCACCATTGCACGTGTCCTTAGGGATGTATCAGGCAGTTTCTTGACTTTCGTAATGGTCTCTCTAGGATGTTGTCTGTGGAGCCCTCGATAACTATATTTTAATAAATATTACAGGAATAACGTGCCGTCTGCTTTTGCCAGAATTGGAAACAAACTAAATCAACAGAAAGACACTCGTCAAGCAACTTTCCTGTTTAGAAGAGGCCTGAAGGTAATAAAAATTACTGAAAACAACAACAAAATCATGCCACAGGTTCTAAGCTAACCTATAACACTGATACTAATGAATCAACATTGAATATCAGATCTGAGTGGAAACTTCAGGTGGACTGGGAAATCGGCACAGATTCTTCTAGGGAACTGTACTTGTCCTCTCTCAAGTTTTGCTTCCTGTTCCAGTGTAGCTGGACTGTTCAGAGGGGCATGGAACTTGTCTTAGTGTTTGAGGATAGTTAGAAGTTGTTCGTTTTCCTTTTAAATGCTAGAAAGCACTGTGCAGCTTTCAAAAGTTGGCTTCAGATGAAGGATAGAGTAGAAACGTTTTTAGAATCTGACTGGGGTTTTTTGTTGGGTTTTTTTGAGGTTGTTTATTCTGGTTATCTAAGTTATTGTTTTAGTTACTTAAGGATTTTTTAGTTGAGTAAGATCGAGAGAATAGAGTGTGCAGTGAATTATAAGTGATGTTTCGGTTTCCGTTTGTGCCCTCATTCTACGTCTGCCATCGTTGTGAATATAGGTAGCGGCTGTCTTTCATCTACATGGATTGCAGAACTACAGATGGGATCAGGAGAAGGAAAACCAAAACCAAAGTCCTTTAAAACAGCAGTGGGTCTTAGTAGATATACATATTGGATATTGTGTATGTTAACATTGGTCAGATTTGGAACTAGCCAGGTTTTTCTTGCTGGCCTGGTAACATTTTGGTGTATCTTGGTAAAAAGTGGATGTTTGCTGACTAGTCCTCAAAAATGTTTCCATGTCTTTACTCGTTCAGTTACTGTCATTGACAATTTTGTTTGTAATTTCTTTCCAAAGTCTTACAAAGGCAATAAGGATAGTTATCTTTGAAGTCCCTCTGAAAGTACAACCCCATTTGTGCAGAGTGTACAAACAGCTTGAAACTTCTAGTTTTGAACTTCTGTATTTCCAGCTGCTACAATAGGAATTGAAACAATATTCAAATCCAGTGTCTGTATTGATGTGTTTTCAGGTGCAGGCCCAAGTGCAGTCAACAGATGATCTTGATAATCAGACAGTAAAGAGAACTCGTCAGTAAGTATTTAATTTGGAAAACTTCAGTTTGGTTACTCATACCATTCATGTTTTAGCTCTGCCTTCCTGGCTATGATAATTGAATGCTGTGGACTTTTTTTTTTTCCCTTGTAGGCATATCAACTGAGTGACAGTGATCCTCCTCTTGTTCTCAGTTATTTCCTAAATTATCTTCTGATTTAACTGGAAGGAATTTGTTTGCATAAAACGCTTGCAGGAATCAGGGGGAAAGTGGTAGTTTTAGAGGATCGGACTAATCTCTGCCACTTATGAATACTGCATAGACTGGAAGAAAAATTCAAATGTTCAATGTTTTCCTGAGCTCTTGATGTAATATCCGTTTTATGTAATATACGCATAAGCCTATGAAACAGTTTGGAATTAAGCGAGGCAGGTCACAAGGTGGACTTTCAGCTGTCCCTGACGTGTTCTGCCCATATTGTTCTGTGCCTGCTAGGCTCTTTGACTTCTTTGTTGGTAACTCAACAGGCTGAGTAAAGCAGCGTGTGCCACAGATCTGCAGTCAAAACCTCTTTGATTTGCTGTGAGGACCGTTTGGCCCCATCTGTGGCAAGGAAGCTGAATGTTTTAAAAAAGTGAACATTTCAGTCCGTGCTGTAGTTCTGGTGCACCTTGCCAGCATGTGATCAGCACTCACCTGAATAGATTTAGATAATGTAAAGGTACAAGAATCAATAGCTGAGCTTCTTGTAGATTGTTTGACTGCATGTAGTCTCCGTACTGGCCTGTATTCTGAAAGCTTTTACGTTCTTTACTAGCCAGTGTTTTGGACATACTTCTATAGATACTCTGACTGAAATTTCTGCAATGATTTTGTAAGTGATTTCTGTATTTTCAAACTAGATGGCGAACTTCCACCACCAGTGGAGGGATTCTGACTGTGTCCATTGATAACCCAGGAGCAATCATAACCCCAATGTGAGTTTTCAAAAAAGTTATGAAGTGTTCTTGATGTAACTGAAATCGCTGTTCTGAGCCATTTAGCAAGTTCCTTGCAGATAGTGTTTCAGGTGACCTCAAGTTCACAGCTTCTTGTGAAGACTTCTAAATCTGACCCCTTTCTGAGTGTTTCTGAGCTTGATGTGGTGTATAGAGTTGAAGAGTGGTGGGCTGGTAGATTTCACCTTGTCTGCCTCCCAAATCAGACCATATTGCAGTTGTTTTCCTGCCCTGAATGAAAATGAATGAGCGTTTAGTTGACGAGTGATGGTAATAGTTCCTCCCTGATTCAGAAAGATACTGCTAGAGTTGTGCTTAAAGAAAGCGCTTCTGTATTTGTCTTTGGAAGTTGATGGTGCTGTTGTCTTATGAGGTGGTTTGTTTTAAAAATCTCTTTAATAGCTTTTTTCATAAGTAACACTTTATCTGTGAGGAATACTGTACCGAATTTTATTTATTATGGGAATAATTAACTGCAAATTATGTGTTTGTCAGTAGGATTGAGAGATCAAAGATAAGGTCACTTCCTGTCAGGACACTTGCTGTCTGATAACAATAAGAAATGCTACCGTTTTATATTTCTGCCTGACTTACCTTCTTGAATTTGTGCCCTCCGGCTATTCGGCCAGCCTGATCAAATGACTCGATGAAAAACTCGTACCTCTATCAATATTAAGGCATTGTTCCATAGAATGCCTGTTTGCTCTGTCCCTTGTAACATTCTTCTTTCACAGTTCCCAGAAATTACGATTAACTCGTATGCCTGTGCCACCATTTCTGATGAAGAGGGACCAATCTGAAGAGAAGAAGATTCCCAAAGGAGTTCCATTGCAGTTTGATATTAATAGTGTTGGAAAACAGGTAAATGCAATTTCTTTCCTTAACTATGGAAGTAGTTTCAAGACAGATAAAAGTCAGTGAGCCAGACATTTTCCTCCTAGACTCACTAGTGACAGAAAGAGGGAACTGGTGACTATCCCCTTCCAGTTCTTCCACTAATTTGCTATGTAACTTCAAGCAAGTAACTAAACTCACTGTTCCTGTTCCTCTAGCTCATGTCTTGCAAGCTGACATGCTTTAAATGGGATTTAAAACGTTGAATATTTCTAAAAGCCTTCTGGTGTTCCTGCTGTGCTTGAATCAGCAACTGTGCGTAATTCAGGGATGAGCTGCTTTCAGTTGTGTAACCTGCATGGAACTCTGACAGCTGAATTTATAAGGCAACTTTTGCTATGCATCTAGGAAAAAAAAACCTAAATGTGGTAACGTTAGTAAAGCCTTGAAACTTTTCACAGGTTTCATGAAGACAGGTGATGTGGTACAGCAATCTTAGTGCTGTCATTGAAGGAATTCTTACAGGAAGATGGGTGTAGTGAAAGTTCCTTTTTTCAGTTTGTCTGTCCTCAGTTTAACTTACGATATTTTGAGTACACTTTCAGTCTTGACATTGTGTACCATTTGTTCTGGATGAATTCTGAGAAATGCTAGCTCTTGATGTATAGTTCAATCTGATTTTTAAGTGGTGCAGGAAATGATGAAATCAAATTTTTATTTTTTTTTTAGTCTTAAGTGAAGCAATTAAGAAGTCAATTGATGATACACAATGAAGAAAAAATTATTCTTGTTTCCATTACTCTGATGAAATTAACCTAACATCTTTTACGTTTGTGGGGAAATGACTTTATTTTTCAGACGGGGATGACATTGAACGAACGCTTTGGGATCCTGAAGGAGCAAAGAACAGCACTGTCTCAGAACAAAGGAAGCCGGTTTGTAACAGTGGGCTAACCTGACAGATGGACTCAAGCACTGATCCCACCTACCTAAGAAACGGCAATAGAAGTGGGCAGAAGAATAGAGCATACATCACTGAAATTCTCCAGACTTCTTGCTAAGATGGTGGCAGAGCTATCTGTCTTTATTACTTTTACTTTGAATGGTAAAAGACACGAAAAGGGAGGAAAGTGGGAAAACCGGACCGCTGGAGTGGCACCATCACCTGGTTGGAAAAGATTCTGTTGCCCAGCTGATGACAAACACTGATTTTGGTTCATCTTGGAACCAAAACACAACCACAAATTTTAAAAGTTGGGGTTTTTGTGTCTAGGAGTGCTCAGTATCTGTTTTTTGACCCCTCTGTAATGGTAAAGATTGTGTAAGCGTTTCATTGCAAACCCCATTTCAGGGTTTTTTAGGGACTGCCTATGAACTTTCCTTTGGACTGCAGTTTGGCACAGAGCCTCAGTCCATGAATACTTCGGTAGTGATGTAGCGGCGTTTTTCATGGGAGCATTGGTTTTACTTCTTTGTGCTTTTGAAGTCCATTTTTTTCCTTTCTTGAAAACTAAATGTTTTGCATCCTCACTTTCACAAACAAAACTGTTAGCTGAGACCCAAAACATGTAATTTGGATGGAAACTATTCTACTCTTATCCTTAAAAGTAGTCCAGATCATATTGGAGGAACACTGCGCAGGCAGTATGAGAGTAATTTGTATTACAAATAGCTGAAGTTCATCATCCTCCTCTGTAAATGGGGTATGTCTGTCTCATTTTTTTTCTTAAACTTTTACTTTCTTTTTTTTTAAGTTTGTGAAAAAACTTATTGCAATAACTTCGCATTTTTGAATAATTTCATAGGAATAAATACAACAGTTCACAAGAAAGTCAGTTGTATGGTAGAGTTCCTTATCCTCCCAGACATAGGATTCTCATCTCACATACCTTGCCTCAGAGGGTTTTCTCTGGCTCTTACGAATAGCCGGAGGCGAGCAATCTAATGGCACTTCTTTGTGTATACCAAAGAGAGGTAGGATGGGAAGCTGATCAGAAGTGGTCAGACATCTTGAAATTGGCTGAAACTGGGGAACACTGCTGGAACAAAGCCCTCAGTTTGCCAGCATGTGTAAGGCATTAAGCAGGAGCAGTCACTTACTTCTAAGCTTAAGCTTTGTGCATCAGAATCTGCAGGATGGTTACAACTGGGGCATCCTCAGTATGAATTTATATGATCCCTAAAAATGAAGCACCTGTTCAGAATTGCTTCCAAACCAGGAGCTGATTAATGCTGTTCTACAGCAATGAGATTTAGGTACAGTCAGGTAAAAGAATGGTTGGCTTGCTGCATCCAGAAACGTTTATGGTATTTGAAGTGGGTTTAATTCCTTTTATTTTTCTTGAAGAATTTACATTTGACTTCTTACAGAGTTGGTTTCCTTGCATTTTTATCTTAAATTCCAAGCTAACTAGCATTTACCAGGAACTTCAACATTGAAGAGCATTTGACAGTAGAAGGGCTTTTGTTTGTATAGCAGTTTTAAAGTCAGAGTGCATCCTTGATGCTATATAGTACTTAAACCCTTATTTTCAATGTTAAAAAATATACCTTAGCAGAGGCAAACTAAACATAACGGTGTTAAGTTTTTTTTCTTAATTACTAGTAGTAATTTTTTTTAAAAAAAAAGGTCCCACTGTTAGAATTTGAGTAGATAATGTGTTGTCAGTCATCCTGTTTCAGTGTATACATTTTCCATGTGCCAGGATGCAACAAAAAAAAAATCTTTTGCATCAACATAGATGCAAAACATTGATGCAATGCATCAAAAAATGCTAGTTTGTATTTAATGAGAAGATGCTTTACACTGTACCTTTTGGTATTTTTTGGAGAAGTTATTACATTTGATCTATTCTGAAGCTGTTAATTTTTTTTTTTTTTTAAATAAAAAGTTACAGGTTTCATACTGTCTTGTTCCTGTTATAACCACCTGAGCGGTACATTGGTTATGTGAAGTTTCTGATATCCTGCAAGGGGTTCTTAGTGATTAAATTCTTATATTCTTCAGAATGTTTAATACCACAAAGCAGCCTAATTTAAAGAGGGCTTGTGTTCGTTGCCCATCTTAATATCCTGAAAATTAAGCACTTCTTGGAGTGGCATGTTTAAGTTCACTTGCATTTAAATGTGTCAGCTATTGATGTGTTTTCAGTAGCACCGTCTAATTTAGTGGTTTGGTGTGATTATAGTACCAGATCCCTTCATCTGTCAGCCTAAGGACTGGTTTTCGTGTTGCTGTGACATGTCTTGCTAATGAGAAGTCCCTGTAATCCCAACCTTGTATTACAGGATCAGCGTGAACGCCCTGATAAACGACTGCGGGGATGTTTTTCAGCGCCGGGCTGGCCGGAGGCGTGCACAAGCAGTGGACATGCTGCTGTTAGTCGTGGTGCAGGAAAAAAAACACTGCCTGTAAATAGGTTTGATAAGGTGTTTGAGTATGGTGAGTGCCTTGGCACCCTGGCTGCCTGCAGTCTTTGTTCTTCGTTACCTGTTCCAGTCTGTACAGTGACCAGCTTTGGCGGTGTCTGGACACGCCACAGTTCCAGCTGATCTGCACTTTCCCAGAGCCGGGCTGGCGTGTATCCGGATGTTGCGAAGAGTGTGACCTTTTAAGGATCGATGATATTAAGGAAAAAAACATGAAGTGGTTGGTACTCTTCCCGCGTAGTTCAGCCACGTGCGTTATCTCCATGGTTTGGCAGTGGAACGGGGCGAGGAGCGCTCACCCAAAAGCCGACCTGTGCCGAGCCGCTGGTGTGGCATCTCACTCTGGCGGAAAAACTAGAATGTTTCTCAACTTCAGAAGGTGTATGGGCGCTACAGCCACGTTCAAGGGGAGGTGAGCCCCCTCGCCCGGCGCATCGGCCCAGCCAAGCGGGAAAACCAGACCCGAAAAGTGGATGTTTCGGGTTACTTTAACGAGGGGGAGGCTGCGCATGCGCAGTCTGCGCCCTGTCAAGGCTGGCGCATGCGTCCTCCC